TTCTGTAACTGTCGTCATTAGCAACATCCGGCCAGGACCTTCTCCAGATTAAAGTATCTTATCTAAGAAACTCCCCAGACTTTCTGAGAACAGCCCATCTGTCAGAGAAGGTAAAGATTTACACTGACAATTGCCCAGGCCAGGCAGATGTGCTAGTTAAGCTTAACTTTCTCTTTTTCCAAATTTTATCTCTAGTTCTAAATTTCCCTTTAACAATTACCAGGTACATCTAGCTATGACACAGGTTGCCTATCGACCAAGCATACTTCCCCTGCCCTGCCAGAAAACGGAGGCAGCCAAGAGAGCTTGGACAGGTAAAAGGCCAAAGGAAAAAGGGCAGTTTTATTTTCACCCACGACTTAGTGACTTATAGGTTCTTAACACTTCAGCTAACCCCTTCTAAGAACATAGTTGAGCACATAAAATCCCCTTTGCTTAGATATTAACCGAATTCAGCCTCTAGTTGATTCATTTCCCCATTAGTCACTTCCCTGTTGGATTGCAGATGACTGCTCTTTTGTGTGGATCTTATTGCCCCTCCTTTTGACCCTGAGGGAATTCAAGCCTAGTGACCTTGCCTTAGCCAGAGCATTGCTATTGCGTGAGTATATAACTGTAAACCTCAGAGACTTGAGGAGGACTAGATTGGAAGAGAACTAGGTTGGAGGATTACAACAGAGAACTAGAGGGATGAGATGGAAGATGAGGAAGAACAAGATGAGAAAGGAGATGGGAGAGGAGCTAAGATGGGAAAGAACTAGAGGAAGGAATTAAGATAGCACTTAGAGGGAAGAGCAGAAAAATGTAGAGAGAAATCAGGCCAGAAAGGAGCTAAATAGGAGAGCAGAATAGAAGCTGTGGAGATAGATAACTGACTCAGAAGAATAAAGTGTATGGACTAGGAGTTTCGTGTACATAAATTTATTCGAGTATCCCTCAGATTAATTAATCTGCCACTGGTAGCACATCTCTTCTGGAACTCTGGGAGAAGGCTATCGAGGGGCTGGAGCCCAATAGTCTTCGATACTTTTTAATTTAGCTTACAAAGCTTCTGGCCTAGATTCTGAAGTATCCAAATAGTAAGAATCCTATATGTGTTAGAAAACCATGCAGCCCTACATCCTTAGAATTCTTTGATGTCAGGCTGGCAAGATGGCCCAGCAGGTAAAGGCACTTGCCATGTAAGCCTTGTGTCCTGGGTTTGATCCTCAGAATACACGTAAATGCAGAGAGAACAAACACTACCAAGTGGCTGTTGGGTCTTCACACACACCATGACACATGATGAGCATATATGTGTGTGCAAATACACAGAGACACAGACACAGATAAACAAACAGACACACACACACACACACACACACACACACACACACACACACACACGTGCGCGTGCATGAAAATGCATAAACTAAGCTCTTAAAATGCACCATTTGCTATGGAACCAGCAAGCTATCCCACCCCAGATCACTCAAGTCTTTAGAGAGGAATCTTGAGAATCTCAAGAGTATAGGATTAGATGGCACATATATATATAAAAAAAAAAAAACATAAAAAAGGTGATAAATATTAAAGTTTACCTCAAACTGAAAGGACAGGAAGGTATAGGATCAACCTCAGAAAACAATACTCCACACAGTAGGAGGAAATTAACTGTTTTTTAGTAGGCACACCATGACCAGGCCTCTACTAGACCTGAAGCACAAATCTATCGCTACAAACAATTCTTCATCCTTCACAAATCTGTGGTCAAGATTCCTCCATTACAGAACAGGGCACCTGGCTGACAGATGTCACCCTAGCCAGGAATGGAAAGAAGCATATCTGAGCCCACCAGTTTCTGCATTCACATAGCACATGCTCAAGAGACACTTACTTAATTTTCTGGAGACTGTATTCTGAGGATAGGAAGAAATAAACAAGCTTTAAAGAGAGAAAATATGCTGGTTTCTAAAGTACATCTGAGTTGTTATATGCAGTAGAAGAATGTCATAAACATTCTAGTGAACCCCATTACCTCTACCTTAAGCAGTTCATTTCATTTTACAAACACTTAAAGCCAAATTTTACAAAAATGCTCTGTATTTTCTTCTTTTATGATAGCTAAAAAGCAGCAGTGAAAGAAACAGATTAAAGATTGTTCACAAGACTTCTTTAAATATCAGTAAAGGAAAGTACCTCACATAGAAGTTAAAGTTTAGCTCTTAACAACGGTAGCACTAGTAATTAATAAAAGACATTATTATTATTACTGAATGTGTACTATACCTGCTACCTTCCCAAGTACCACCGTTAATATTGGTAATTTGGTCATGAACAGCGTGAATTATGTAGACTACTCCTTTCTGAACATCGTGAAACATGTTGATTAAGTAGCCGTTGGTCGCACGGTGGAAAACTAGGGAGTTGAGATCAAAGCAGAGCCCATCCATTAGCATCTGCCCTGATGCTTTCCAAGGTGGTAGCAATATGACTGTTCTACCCTTATGACTATTAAATGTTTGCTCTTCTATTTGATACAGAGACATATTCGTTCTAAATCATCAGGGTAGCATTCTATCAACTAGGTAAAAACATTGTTAAAGTCAACTTTATACACTAGCCTCAAAACTACCAGCTTTGAACAAGGTTCCCAATGATTCTGTCCAGCTGCACGACACAAGAATATTTCAGAATGTCTTAACTATGCTTGAATTCATGAAGTGTAACATATTCTATCGGGGTGTTTCCAGGGGCACACTAAGAGGCCCCCAAGAGTTAAATACAGACTCTTCTCTACAGTCAATCTTTTTAAGTTGTGTTTGTCTGTTTGTGTGTTTGCAGGCCAGGTCTCACTATGTAGAGCAGGCTGGCTTCAAACTTAAGGGATCCACCTGTCTCTGCCTCTCAAGTGCTGGGATTAAAGGTGTGCACCACCATGCCAGGAGAGTCCATCTTGATTGCCACGGCTATAGTACATACTTTAACAGTAGCTACCCCCTGGTTATGTTTTGATAACAGTTTCAAAAGTGCTCCTCTCCTTTCAACTTTTATACTTAGCAAGAACTTAAACCGCGGGCAGGCAATGTGTACAAAGTCTGCTAAGGACTGCACGGACTGGTGGCCGCAGGGACGTAGTCTTTAAGGTCTTATAAGTCCTCCATCTAGATTTTTTCATGAGAACCAACACTAAAGAAGGCATTTTCATTCTCTATTTTTTGGTACAAAGATTAAGAAGGAGAAAGGATATTAACTTCAAAAAAATAATGTACTGACAATGAAAATTTCAGAGAGGTACAAACAGAAAAACAGTGCAGCGGAGGCTAGAAAGGATGACTTTAGACACTGAAGAGAGCATGCCATTTTGTGACAAGTGACTAAGAAAAGTCCAATAGATACGAGGTGCCGGGGGCAGTACTGATAGAGACGCTCAAAGTCCCCACTAGGCAACATCAAGTATCCAGCTCAGCAACAGTTACCACATACAAAAGAGCAAGTCAGAGAGAGCTCGGGATCAGAGAGGATGTTCAGTGCTAAAATCAGCCTTGGCAAGGTAGTTGTACAAACTAAGTGGACAGGACATGACTGTTAGTACAAGGCTGGGAGGAAAAGAGACAATCACCTGAATGTAAGTAACAGATGGCAAGGCACTAAAGGAGAGTCAAAATAAATACATAAAAAGCCAAACGATGCTGAAGTGACTACAGATGATGGCAGAGAACTTGACAGAAAAAATTACAATTTTAGAAAAATTGAAAATATACTGGAGACCAGAACAAAGGGCTATGAGAGAACAGTCGTAATCACGATTTAGGGACAATTTTAACCAGAACATGTTAAAAACGGCCTATCCACCTTAGCACAAAGAAAACGTTGTACTAAAATGCTGACATCCACAAAGAGACAGCAGAACCACTATTCTGTCATCCAGAACGAATACAAAGTCTGCCATGGGCTAAACACATTTCAGTCATCCGAAGGATGAAGAAGGAGATGATGCCCTGGGGAGAGAAAACACTTGGCTTCTAAGAGTCTTGTTTTAGATTTTGAAATAAAAATGTTAATGCAATAAAGCAAAATCTAAACATGTAAACATATATATAATGAGAAACAGTAATTGACTACAAATTCATATAAATTAGAAGTTACTTAAAATGGTTGGAAAGCTAAATTCTGTCTGTAATTGTTTCCTCGCAGACTGAGTTTGTCTTTTATTATTGTAATAAACATCAAACCCAACCTAGGGAGGACAGGGTTTATTTCATTTTACAGTCCATCATGAAGGGCAATCAGGGCAGGAGGAACTGCAGACCATGGAGGAATGCTTCTTACTGGCTTCCTTTCCATGGCTTGCTAGCAAGACAATTTCCTCATCCCACCCAGGACCACCTGCCCAGGGAAGGCACTGCCCATAGTGGGCTGGGTCTCTCACACATCGTTAATCAAGGAAATGCCCCCATAGACTTGCTACAGGGCCAACTCATAGAGCAGTTCTCTACAGAAGTTCCCACTTTCTAGATGATCCTAGCTTGTGTCAAGTTGACCAGAGCAAAACCAAAAACAATCACTAACCAACACACATGATAGTACAGTTTAGCTTTGAACTACTGGATTGGAAACACATACTCAAGGCTTTCCAGCAGCAGTAAACCAATCGGGGTGCAATTTTAGCAAATTAAAGACATCTGCCACAGTATTTGGTGATTTCCTCTGAATCAGCCTACAGCATCCAACTATTGTACTTCATGGCTCTCTGTGACAAAAGGTTGAATGCAGCTGTCTAATGAGAGACTTAAGTTAACTACATGCAACCAGAACAATTCACCAGCTGACTCTGAGTTGCCTCATTGAGAGAGCTAATGTGAATCTTGTTCTCATCACCCTTGGATCCAGCCCCCTACTTCCGTTTGATGGATACACCTTTACCTATGCTGACGCGGCACTAGTTACACCATATAAAAACCCAAGGGAGCTTTCAGTTAAAGTTGACTGCAGACATAGATGGCAGCAGTAATACTCACCAATACAGACATCGATCTTCCCTTTAATGGCAGCTTCATGCAGAGGTGTGTAGTTCCAATTATCTCTGGCATTCGGATCTGCTCCTTGGCACAGTAACAGGCTCACAACCTCAGCATGGCCAAAAGAACAGGCATTGTGAAGTGGGATGAGACCCCCATCGTCACGGGCGTGGACATTAGCACCCATCTGCAGCAAGTGTTCTACGACATCCTTCCTCCCAAAACCTGGAGAAGAAAGGCAGACATGTTTTATACACAACATCCACACCTCCATACTGAGTTTGTACCCTAGAGTAAAAAGGGTAAACTACAACACAAGCTTTTTTCAAACTGACCTTCATTGCAAGAACAGAACCAAGGAGTGCTCTTGCCTGGTTAGTGAGCGGTTCACTCAGAAACCACTTCCCAATCACATGCTATGGCAGACAACTGTGCCAGAGACCCAAGTGAATGAGATGACTCCTGTCCACAAGTGTTGAGACACGGAACAAAATTATATACAGAAAGCTTCCACGTACTTTATACTTAAAAACTGCTGGCAAAAATTTTACACTTAAATACTTTAAATCAAAGACAAATCACATCTAGCACCAGAGACCTAAAAGGATGTAACAGAACCACAGTGACAGCTGGGTTAAGGGACTCTGCAGCAGGACTACAGATGGACTAACGAAGGGGTCAGAACACTATGGGATCGGGAGCTGAACTGTGTGCCACAGGTGGCAGGCACACCGTCTGTGACGGATTACGAACCCGAGCACACGGGGAAGGGAAGCTAGACCCACCTGAAGATACAGAACCAGACACTCTACCGAGTGTCGCAGTTTTCACTAGAAAGGGGAAGGGAGCTGGCTAGGCCTCAAGGGGGGTAAAGACTGCATAGACAGGAGAGAAAGCCTCTGGAGGGACCGTCATAGAAGCCAGGGACCACGACGATGATGATGACGACATTAGGCAAAGGCCCACAGGAGGAGAAAAGGGAAGACGGCCATTCCTAACATGAAAGAAAAGTAATTGTGCTACACAAACTACAAGCTATATCGCAATGGATTAAAAATGGCGACTGCACAGATCAGCATTTAGTAACTTATCCCACTTTGTGGCCCCACGGCACTACCTCCACACTAGTACTTACTTGGTCAAGTTAGAAACTGGCATTTTACATAAAGCTAAAGGGTAGTAAAACAGTCATATCTTCCTCCACTTTATGCATACATTAAATAAATGAGAATCCTATGAAAAATGAGGGGGAAAAAGATGTGTCTTCTGTTCTATCTATAGAAATTCACTTATTTTCAAGAGAGCAAGTACCAAGAAACTCTCCCAAAATAAAAATATGACTCCATAGACATGAATCTCAAAATCAGAATTACACTTCTCCTAGATAACCCCTCGAATTAAGCTGGAGTGTGTTTGTGTGTGTGTGTGTGGGGGGGGGGTAAGTCAATTTATGTAGATTCGAATAGTGGGGTTCTGGAGTGCAAGCTAAGTGCCGACAGCGGCCATGGTTTCAGTCTGCGGCTCTTCCCCTGCACACAGGTGAGGGCTGGCTGGAGGGTCCACTTCACCGTCTCTACCCCTCCTCTCCTCACTAGTACACCCCTATTCTTCCACAGGCCCTCCCGTAAGGAAAGGAAGGGCTCTGGGCAACTGCCCGGTTTGGTTCCGACTGGGATAGAAAGGACAGGATGGCTGGGTGAGGTCAGGAAAGTCAGTCCACTCAAATTCTTTGAGTCATAGCAAGGAGCTTGACCTGGAGGAAGGGTCTATCAGGCGGCCAAATCTGTCTGCCAGCTATGTCCACAGCAGACATGGGAAGATGAGGTCAGGAAGATAGGTATGGCCTTTTGTGAGTTAGAAACACAGACAGCTCCAGGTGACACCACCAAAGGAGGACAGAAATATCCTTGGCTCACATCGGCCACTTAGCAGGGACCATGGAAAGCCTGGAAAGCCTTTCCACTTTGGCGGCATTCACTTGCTTCCTCAGTCTGCAGTCATCGGAGTGCTGCTGCCCTCCGAGCTGGAGACAGGACTCCAGACAAGAGAGAAGTAAAGGGAGAAAGGGCTTGGACACAGAATGCTTAGTGTGGAAGCAGTAAGCCTCTTCAGATACACACATCCATGCATTCCTAACCAAAGATGTGTCAATGCCTACCTCCAAAAACGGGCTGGAAAACAAGTCTTTTAGAGCTGAGTACACAGCTGTCTCAAGAAAATCAAGTTCTCTATTGGTGAAGAACTAGATGAATTCAGGGAGGAGAAAACAGCATCTGCCACAGCTTTGTAAGTCATAGGTGGAAATTTGTTTCATTTTTAAGTACCTGAGAAACTATTCCTAAGAAAAATCACTTCATGCTATTTGAGTCTTAAAAGGTTTTTCAGATAGCTGAATGTGATGTTCAGTTTAAAAGTCAACTTGCCACAATTGAGAATCACCTGAGGAGGGAGTGTCACCTGAGAGATGGACCGGATTGCCTCAAGACGGCCTTAACTGCGGCGGGAAGACCCACCTGGTGTGACAGCGCCTTCAGGCAGCAGCCCAGATGATAGGGGCATGGAGAAGGCAGGCTGCCCCGCTGCCCCGTGGCCTTGCCTCTTACAGACCCATTTCCTGCTCACGGCTGTGGCTCATTCCTTCACTGACAGGAGAAGCGAGTCTCCAGAACCTGCTAGGTTTTGGGCACCTGGCTGGGACTGCTTAGGCACTCTTACTATTTCAATGTAAGCTGATATAAAAATAATAATAATAATAATAATAATAATAATAATAATAATAAATCCTATCTGTCTGTTCCTCCAGAACTCTAATACATTATATAAAAATGAACAAATTAGAGTCAAACAAATCCAGTGGCATGCACCTCCAATCCCCAAATTCTGGAGGCAGAGCCTGAACAAACGAAGTTTGTAGGCCAATCTGGGCTATATAATAAGACCCTCTCTCAAAAACAATAAAGAGCTGAGAAGATTATCCAGTCAGTAAAGTGCTCGGTACACAGCAGAAGGATCTGAATCTGAAGCTCTTGCACCCATGTAAAACTAAAAGCTGGGCTCTGTGGTGTGTGTTGGACAGAAGCAACCCTGAAGCCCCTGGCTAAACAAGAGACCTGGTGAGCTCCGGGCTCAACAAGAGACCCAGTCTCAAAAAATAAGATGGAGGGCGACCCATCTTAGGACACCCAACATGAACCTCTGCACTCCAAACGCACACATGAGCACATGTGTACATACACACCACAATAAAAATTAAGAACAAGAACAAAATTAGAGCAGACGAAGAAAACTCCTGCTGTAGTCTAAAGATGGAGGAGACCTGGCATGGCCTTGGAAGGCAAGGATGACTGGGTCCTAGAACTGTAGGAACACTTTAGTCTGTGGAGATTCCATGTGGGAAAGAAGCAAGCCAAGAGCTACAAAACATCATTCAATATCTGCCCCTCACTAGCTGCTAAAGTGATATGATTTGTAAATTTCAGCACATTCCTATTGCTAAATAATGTCGTTATTTCACATGTTCAAAGAAAATTTAAAATACAAGAAAAGCATTGTGCTAGCATTGTAAGGAAAATTAAATTCAAAACACATGCCTAACTGAATACACTTAGCTATATTCCTTATTCTGATCTTTAAATATTACAATTAAGGCCATTCAAATGGTTCAATACTAAATATAAGGTCACTGATATTTATTCCCCAGGTCTGAGCTCAAAGATGGGGGTGAAAAAGTCATTCCACTTAACATTTGGCATCTTAAGCTTACCTACGATTAAAGCCTGCAAGAAACGACCTTAAACCTTAACTGTGGCATGCACAATACTAACAAAAAAGGAAACCAAAGGTGTGTGGAGTCTTGTAAACTCAAGTTTTTATAAAGGCAGCAACAACAGATTCAAAAGGCATTTTCCTCCTAACTGGACTACCAAAAAAGCTACAAGCATTGAATCATAGTAAGAAAGTTCATATTACAATACATTTTTAATTTTTTCAGTAAGTATTGTAAGATCTAAGAACAACCCAAAGATAAAGTAACGTAAGGGAATTTTGGAACTGTCAGGAACACTGACATAAGTGGTAAGGACAGACAGACAAATGGTGATAGAGGACCCGCTCCGTCCTGTTCAATACCTTAGAAGGGAAAATATTACAGTGGTCTATGAAATTCCAGGCAGGAGACTGGCCTGCTTTGTTTTCTACTGCTTCGATAAGACATTGTAACCAAAAGCACTTACACTTTCCAGGTCACAGTCCAACATGAAGGGAAGTAGAGGCAAGAAACTCAGGAACTGAAGCAGGGACCTATGGAACCCTCCTTACTAGTGATCTCTCTTTCCATGGTTTGCTCAACCTATTTTCTTATACAACTTAGGACCACCTACCTAGGTCGACTCCGCCCACACTGGGCCGGGCCCTCCCACATCAATCATTTAAAAAAAAAATGCTCCACAGACTCGCCCACAGGCCAATCTGATGGCGACAACTGCTCAACTGAGATTCCCTCTTCCCAGATAGATCTGTGTAAAGTTGACAAAAACTAACCAACACAGGGGCCTTTATACGTTAACTGTAGAGCTTTTAAACACTCTCGACCCGACATACTCACCCAGCTCCCTAACCAACACTGTGGCTCCGCATCTGTGAGCAACTCCGGAGGTCCATTACCTATAGGGATTTCTAACTCTGCTAAGTTAAATCTGAGTCTATATGGACCTTGGCTGATGTGTGGAAGGCAGCTGCAAAATGAGAGGATGTTTATGGCCCAACAGCCCCTGCCTGCCTTTATTGCCAATCCTATACTAGTTCTAACACTTCTTTGCAGTTTGGGGGGTTACTGTACTTTATGAGGGAAATTCGCATCCCGTCGTGACCATCTGTAATATGGGAGTGGGGAAAGAACTTGCAGTTTACTTTAAAAGCATCCAGTCTTGTAGGTACCAAGTGAGGTCTCCCTAGTCTACACACACTAAACCACAGACACCCAGTAATCAACTTCTGATTACTTTGTAATATACATCCATGACAAATCAACACTTTCTATTTAACTCAGCCATTATCACTTCCCTTCCTACTTTGATTCTAACTGCCTTAGTTTTTAATCATTAGGAGATAGATCAGCTTCTGACCATTTGATCAAAAGTCACAAAGGGGAGTATATTTCCCTGTGGATGTTTTATTTGTCGAAAGCAGACCCTAACTGAAAACTTTCTATTATAGAACCCGATTTAGAAAAAGAAGGGAATTTAAGCTAACAGTGAAGCACAGAGAAATAAGAGTGTGCCTTCCCGAGCCGAGTGCAGGAATCTCCAGGAACCAGACAGACCAGGAGCTTTAAAAACACTGTAGGCAAATGTGTCTTGGGACAGACAAAAAGATGGTTGGATTCCAATGCAAACCCATAGCTCAGTAGCAGAAGACAGGTATCCTGCCTGGGCAGGCCAGAGGCCAGGGAAAGTCTATACTCCTCAACACTGTCCCCACGTCCCCGTCCCTGCTGTGAAATAGGAAGACAGGATTTCCAGTCCACTCCAGCCTAAAGTAGAGGGATAAATCGAAGGGAATATTGCAAGCAGGCCTGAGGGCCAAGTGCAAGTCTTCTCCCAGTTAGGCAATCACACTGCAGGAGTGACAGCATTTGGAAAAGAACAAAAGGAGGTTAGGAAATGCTGAGAACACAACAGAAACCACGCTTGGGGCGCTCTCTACCCTAGCATGTCTGTCGATATTCTCCACAACCTAGAAAGCATACTTCCATCACCCCTACAGCCAGCTCCTAAAGAATTCTTCCAAAGGCTCTAAAACAGGAACAGAAGGAAAGAGACGGGAGTAATGGAGAGTAGGAAGAGAAGTACTGTAAAACTGACAGACTTCTCAGAGCTAAGGAAGATGGAAGTTCCCAGGCTGCGAGCTCCCAGGCTGCCCATGAGAACAGACCGACAGCAAGGCACAGTCTAACAATGAGTTCAACGGCAAAACCTTTCTAAGTCCTTCAGAAAGGAAACACATGACAGCTACAGAACTAAACAGTACGTGTAGACTAGAAGCAGCAGCTCGCGTGCCAATCTCAGAAGGCAGAAAAACTGCTCAAGACCTGGAATTCTGTTAGTAGTTTCTGTCTCCCTTCCTTTATTTCATCATAGAATTCTACAGACAAGGGTATTCTTCTTGGAGGAAGAGAAAAACGAAATGCAGTACAATGAACGAATCATAACTAGAAGGCAGAAGAAAACCACAAAAAAAAAAAAAAAACACTTAACACAATAAAAAAAAAAAAAAATCCTAGTCTGAAGAGATGGCTCAGTGGTTAAAAGCACTGGCTGCTCTCCCAAAGGTCCTGAGTTCAATTCCCAGCACCCACACAGCAGGTCATAGACATCTATAATGGGATCTGGTATGTGGATGTACATGAAAATCCAAGCTTCATTTTATCTTACTGATTAAATTATTCAACAAGTGGTTCAAAGCAACTGAACCAATCTTAGAATGATTCAGAAAAATAATCTCTTTAAATCCTTGCCTCTCAGTGTACAGCCAAAAAACAAAAAACAAAAACAAAACAAAACAAAACAAACTACAGCAATTACAGCACAAAACAGTGAAACTACAAAAAAAAAAAATCTAGTGAGACATGCTGTTGTGGGATTTTTGTTCACTGTGTGGAGAGATATTGCTGTGACTAGTATAATTAAAAGGCTGAACAGCCAATAGCTAGGCAGGAGGTATAGGCAGGACTTCTGGTAGAGAAAAAGAAACTTGGAAAAGCAGGGAGGTGGTGGCACACGCCTTTAATCCCAGCACTCGGGAGGCAGAGGCAGGCAGATCTCTGTGAGTTCGAGGTCAGCCAGGGCTACAGAGTGAGTTCCAGGAAAGGTGCAAAGCTACACAGAAAAACCCTGTGCATGTCTGTGCTTACTGCATTTCAAAAACAAACTACGGAAGTATTACGGAAGGTACAAGGGCTGTGTGAGGAACATAAACTAGTAGACTCTCTAAAGCAAGCCAGTCTAGCAGCACAGAGCTATAAGCAAGAATCTGAGATTCCATGCACAACACTGTTAGGAGAACTTCCAGTATCTGCACCTACTGCATCCCACAGACCCAGTCCCAGGGTTCCTGTAAGTACAATCTAAGAACACAGGGCCAAACATAACATCACCTGAAAGACCGTCATAACATGTCCTAACTTATAGAACCTTGTATAAATATTAAATGTTCTTAATCTCACTAAACATGGGAGTCTTAACTACATTTTATGTGTCCCCCAACAAAGATCCTCAATTTTGTTCATGCATGAAACGGGGGGGGGGGGGGTTGAAAAGAACAGTCCGGGCGACTCGCTGATTGAGAGAAGCATAGACCCACTGCCTCCAAGAGTCAGGAGCCGTCAGTCTGCAGTCCAGGGAGCACAGGGAGCCATGGAACACATGGCAACATATAGATTAACAAAATGGGCTGAGTTTAAGTGTAAGAGCTAGTCAGTGGTAGGCCTGAGCTCATGGCCTGAGCAGTTTTAATTAATATAAGCCTCTGTGTGTTTACTTGGGTCTGAATGGCTGAGGACCAGGCAGGACACAGAAAAACTTTCAGCTACAGAACAGAGTTTACTGCATATCAGTGGTTTAATCACTCCAAGATTAGAAATCTGCTCTCAAAGAGTATGGGTATCTCCTGGGACTAGGTAAAAATGCAAACTATCAGGCTCCACTACAGACTAACCAGAAGAGAAACTCTGGGATGTGGCTCAGCAATGCGTGTTTCAACAAACCTTCCAGTTTGAAAACTATGGTTACACAGCTTCAGGAGTGTGTAATTCTCCTGAAAATTATATGTAAGCTTGGACATCTGCATTTGGCAGGCATTTTTTTCAGGATGAACAAGGGAGCCTGTTACTTAGATAAAAACAACAGTATTTGCTCTCAAAGATAGAGTTTAAGCTTTCAGACAAATATCTGAATTTTATAGCATTACAAAGCTACTATAAACTTAGCAGTTTCCCAGTAACCATGACTTTTCTAAGATTGGTGTTACTAACAAATGTGCTACTTGTTATTTTTATTGTAAAGATACTAATGCTTTGAAAGAGTTGCATGGCTTACTGAAGTAATAATTCTAAAAGACTAAACCATATAGCTATAAGATCCAATTCTGTAAAATAGGTCAGTGGATTTTAATATGCCAGAAATAGAAAAAATTCATTGATAAGGCTGCAAATTCTCTTTATGAAAACCAATTAACCAAATTGTATTTTGAAAAAAAAAAAACACATTAAAATAGCACTTCCTTCTGCACTCCATTATCTGTTCCATGAATTCAGTCTATATAATACAAACAATGACAGGTAAAAGACAAGAATTGGGCTGTCTTCTATCAGTCCAGGCATTAAACTGACTCAAAATACAAAACAACCCCTTTTTTCTTTTCATTAGCCTTTGAATCAGAAAGAATCTAACTGCAAGTGTTATTTACTCTCAAAGAATGGAGTCTACGTATTTTTATCTCTACATTTTAATTTATCTCGTAAGTCTCAACAGACATAACCTATATTAACAAAGATGCAGTCAATACAGTCACCCCCTTTCTCCACGGTGCTGCTTTCTGCACTGGTGGCCTGCAGTCAGCCACTGTCTGCGAGTATTATATGGAAAAGACCAGAAATAAATAACGTATAAGTTTTAAATCAGAAGTCATTCACAGTAGCAGTGTGGTAGACTGTCTTTTGTGCTGTGTTGTGCCCAGGGTATCCAGTCTGTTTCTACCCACTGTCACTGCCCCATCTCAGCTCTCATGGTATTGAAGCGCTTTCCTGACTTCACTCATATTTTAGCTAACAAGCTGATGATTCAGATACAAGAGAAAGGAGCTAAATGTGTTTCCTTTAGGAGAAAAGATGGAGGCTCTTGACTTAGGGCCATTTGAGAGAAGATCAAGACTACATTCAAATCATTTACTACCAATGCTTACATTTCTAAAGTATTGCTGCTAATCTCTTATGCCTAATTTATCTATTGAAACTTACAAAAAGTGTGCATGTGTGGGAAAACATCTAGAGCTTGGTATGATGCAGTCTCAGGCACCTCACAACCCTGAGGGTTAGGGAGGATTGCTACACCTTTGAGTATAAGAGTCCTGAGGTGAAAACATTTGAGAAACAACATTTGACTCAAAGTGTTCTCTAGATATGTCCTCCTAATGAAACATTCCCTCCTGGAGGGAAGGGAGGAGGTTCACTTCTCAGGAAAGTTACTCAAAATTCAATATGCCCCACCCAAAGAATACACACATGAGCAGTAGAAAACTGCTGGATGAAGAGGCTGTCCCATGAGGGTTCCAGCAACTTGTGTCCAAATTCAAGTGGGGTGCTTTTTGTAGGTGAGCTGATGTGGCTTTCTGGTGATACAGCCTCCAGAGCCTTCAGGCTCCTTGAAGGAACCTCAGTAAACTCACTGTTTCTCCAAGCTAAACTTTGGTGGAATTGTTTCTGTGATCTGCCATTCTTATCATACTTAGGGGTGGAGGTGGGAGCTATGTGTTCATATATTCTCAGGCAAAGTCACACAATGCATTAGTACCCAAAAAGGGTGAACAAAGACTAAGACAAGTCTAAGATTTGTAACTGAGGCTGACCCATTTGAAGGTGGAGCACAGGAGCAATCCTGCTATGGCTACTTTCCCCCATGTGGTAAGGGATGGCATGCCACCTTGATGTAGGGGAAGTTGTGTATGGTGATACAGGTATCATATATATGGTGATATCACCAATATGGGTGATAATACGCACAACTGGGGCCAAGTTATCTGAGCATGGAGCATCTTTAGGAAAATCCCAGGGTAGTGGTCTCTTCTATGTGATATGGGGTATGGCAGGCCTCTTAGATGAATGAGGCCTAGCATCTGAGTAAGATGATGTCCCCAAACAGCTGACGGACTTAGAGACTACACTGCTGTCCCTCAAAGCAGCACATACTGGGCAGGACTGTAAGCAGGCCGTGGCAGATAGTGTCCGATTTCTGCTGTGAGTGGTAAGACATACAACTGGGGCTGAGCTGTCTACTCAGAACTTGCCAGCATAAGGGAGGGTCACAACAGGAAAAAGACATGTGAATGCTATCTTCCACATTAGCAGCTGGTTTGGCAAGAAAAGTGGTGGGAGTGTGTAGGAGCCCGTTTTCATGTTCCTCGTGGCTTTACCCAGCAGGTCCTTATAGAGAGGATGATTAGGACCATGGGCCTGAGTGCAGGCATCTGAAATGGTCTGCACTTGGCTGTGCTGGGGGGCGCTGATCTTTTGCTCCACCCCTTGGCGTTTCTGTAAATACCCTAGGACAGAGATAAGGGCCCGTTGGAATAGGTTCCAGGCCCTCTGGAGGTTACCCTGTATTTTCTGTTTATCTCCACAATCTAAATCCTTCTATCTAATATTTCCTGCTGCTCGCACTCAAGAAAACTCTGGGGAACTGTGGGGTTGGTGGGTAAACGCCCCACAGGAGTATGGGGAGGTGAGTTGGAAGTGCTAGATTACCGTTTCTTACAACTTGTGGGGTGCACAGGAATAGAGTACAAATTAGATCTGTGCCCCTACTAGCATCCAAAAACTCAGAAATGATGGGAAGAACCAAACAGGGAAAAGGAAGATGGCAAGAAGAATCAACAAGACACTTGTCAGGTCTAATTTTCAATACAGAGAAGAGAAAACTCTGGGATTCAACAAGCAGCTGGCAGCCTCAGTAAGGGCCCAGGACAGGGACTACAGTAGCCAGGGGTAATACCCTGCATCTGAAACACAGTGAAGGGCCCCTCGCCAGCTGTTTCACGAAGCTGCTGGAACATGGGGATAGATGAGCTGCCTGCCTAGGAACAGTGATTACTACAGTGACTCATTCCCTACTGGAGACAAAAGCTGCAGAATCCGAGGCAACATGAGGAAAATCAGTCCCTGAGGGACTGGACTTGCTCCTGTGAGCCATTAGGGAGGGATCCTTGGTTATCATCGGCTTGGGCTATATGGACAACAGGAGGACAGAGGAACTGGGTGTAAGAAAGGCCATGTTGGATGTCCCCTGCCAGGTC